GTAGAGAAATATCTAGCCTTAAAACGTATACACCAAAAAAGAAAAGGAAAAAAAGCCAACAAGGGGAGTTTTGGCATATATTTCAAGAAACTGGGAAAGATAAAAAGCAAAAATGAATACAACAGAAAACAAATATACCATGGATAAAATCAGCAAAGCTGTAAGTTGCTTCTTCAAAAAACAAATAAAATGAACATACCCTTGGTGAATTTGACTAATGAGGGAAAAGACAAGCACAAATAATATCAGAAATGAAAGGGGGATATCACATAAAAATCCACAGGCATTAAAAAGTTAAGAATATTATGAGGAGCTTTATGCCAATAAATTTCAAATTGTATTTTTTTTTAGGTAGACAGATTCCTAGAAGAAGTGTAACCTGCAGAAACTTAATAAAGAATAGAAAATCTGGGGGCACCTGTGTAGTTCAGTCAGTTAAGCATCCAGCTCTTGATTTCAGCAGGTCATAATCTCATGGTTCATGGATTCAAGGCACATGTTGACCTCTGCACTGACAATGTGGAGCCTGCTTGGGATTCTCTCCCTCCCTCTCTCTCTCTGCCCCTCCCATGCTCACTCACTCTCTCTCTCTCTCTCTCTCAAAATAAGTAAGCTTTAAAAAAAAAGAATCTTTCCAACCTTTAAAGAAAAAAGAATAGAAAATCTGAATTGTCCTATAACCATTAAAAGTAATTGAATCAGTAGTCAGAAATCTACCCACAAATATAACTTCACTAGAATGTTCTACCACACAAAGAAGAAATAATTCCAATGTTAAACAGATTCTCATAGAGAACAGAAGAGGAGAGCTACTGTCCAACTCATGTATGAGGCTAGCAAAACTTTAATACCAAGAACAGTATAAAAGAGTTAAAATTAATTAGGTAGAGGTCCTAAGCAAAATATTTGCAAACCAAATCCAAAAAAAAAAAAGATAAAACATCATGCCTAAGTTGTATGTATCCCAGGAAGATAAAGTTGGGTAGACTATTAACCAGTATCAGAAAATCATATTTAACGATTAAATGAGAAAAATTATATAATTATTTCAAGAGATGCAGAAAAAGTATTTGATAAAATATTAATTTATTTTAAAAACCCTTAGAGCAAATCAGAAATATAAAAGATCTTTTTAATCTGATAAAGAGTATTTAAAAAAAAATTTAAGCCTATCACCAATATTACACTTAGTGATGAACTATTGAAATTTTTCCCTTTGAGATCAAGTGTGAGATGGCAATGCTTGTTATCAGTAGTTCTATACATATTGTACTGTAGGGTTTGGTAGGATGAAAAAAATATTCACAAGTGATACACAAATGTATACATAGAAAATCTAAAGAATCTACAGATAAATTATTAGAATTTGAAGAGATTTGAAAAAGCAAAGTCACATGATACAAAAACAGTATACAAAAAATGGTTGTTTATATATATATAAAACAGCCTTTCACATATGAGTGAAATCATATGGTATTTGTCTTTCTCTGACTTATTTCACCTGGCATAATACTCTCTAACACCATCCGTGTCATTGCAAATGGCAAGATTTCGTTCTTTTTTGTGTCTGAGTAATATTCCATTTTATGTATATGTGTGTGTGTGTGTATACACATACATATCACATTTACTTTATCACTATATTTTACAAATTTAACTACGGTATGTCTTGGTGTTGGCCTGCTTTTGTTGATTTTGTTGGGAGTTCTCTATGCCTCCTGGATTTGGATGTCTGTTTCCTTCCCCAGATAGGGAAGTTTTTTGCTTTTTGCAAATAAACCTTCTTCCCCCTTTTCTCTCTCTCCTTCTGAGACTCCTATAGTAGGAATGTTACTATGTTTGGAGTCACTGAGTTTTCTAGGTCTACTCTCATGATCATTCTGCTTTCTCTTTTTTGTTCAGCTTCAATATTTAACATAATTCTATCCTGTCTCACTTGTTCATTCCTCTGCTTCTTCCATCCTTGTGGTCATTACATCCAGTTGGTTTTGAATCTTAGATACTGCATTTTTCATTTCTGCCTGATTGTTTTTAAGCTTTTTTATCTCTGCAGTAAGGGTCTCCCTAATGTCTTCCATACTTTTCTCAAGCCCAGTGAGTATTCTATGATTCTTGCTTTAAATTCTGCAGAATGTTAATTTTGTCTGTTTCAATTAGAGCTCTGGCTGTGACCTTTTCTTGTTCTTTCTTTTGGAATGAATTCATCATGGCATTTTCTCTAGGTCTTTGTCTTCTGTATGGTATAAATCCTGTTATGTTTCCTGCATCTTTGAGTAATGGCTTTATGAAGAAGAGATCATGTAATGTGCAGGGCCTGGCACTTCAGGAAGTGTCTCTGGTGTGTGTTGCGTCCACTCTGGTACTGTGTTTTGGCTGGTCTATCCCTCAGGTCAGTTGTCTGTAGAGGCTTTCTTTGCCTGTAATGGACAGTGTTTGGTCCTTGACCAGAGTGTGGTGAGTTTTAACTAGGTGTGTTCTGTTCTGCTTGTTTAAATGAGACCTGATGCTATTTCCACCAGAACAGAAGCTTTGCAGAATGCTGTAGTCAGTAGATGTGTGTGTGGGCGTTTGTGCTGGTCTTCCAGGAAGCGGCTTGTTGCACTGTTCCTTAAGCACACCTGCCAAGAAGAGCATTACCAGTGGATCACAGAGGGGTGGGACCTGGTATAAGCATTAGGCAGCTAGTGTTGGTGCTGTGCTGTTTACTAAAGTTGGTTTATGCTAAGGAGCGGGGGAAAGAAATGGTATGAGCCACCTCCTTGGTCCCCAGGGAGGGAAGGCCACCCTTGCTGCTTTCAGAGAAACCCTCCCAGAAGAATGAATAATTAACCTTTGTCTGTCCTATGTGTTTTTAGATCGCCATTTTCACACTGTCTGTCTCCAGGTTGCTTGCCTGCCTGGAACAGCACAGTGTCCGTTGTGCTCTGTTGTAGCCAAGCCTGCTGCCTTTCAAAACTCCAAACTTTAGGAATCTGGTGTGGCAGGGACTCATGCTGGTCTTCTGGGCGAGGGTCGCATTACACTGGGACCAATGCAGGTTTGACCCAGAAGGGCAGCTGTGCCAGAGCCAGGAGCAAAGCAACTAAACCCCCATTGTCCAGGTTAGCCACCCACAGCAAGTGTCTCTGCACCTATGGTGAGGGGTAGGGGAGTGAAATGGTGCCATCTGGCTCTTTGTCCCCAGAGAGGGAATGCCACCTCTCACAGATACGCTCCAAGAAAAGAGAACAGTCACCTCCCCATGTGCCCCAGGTGATCCTCAGATCACGCTTTCTGCCCAGGAGCACTTGCCTGCCTTCACTACAGGAGCAAGACAGTACCCTCGGGTCCCTATCCTAGACAAGCCCACAGATCTCCAAAACTCTAGTCTTTGTGCCCTGCTTATTAAAAAAAACTCACAAAAATCAGCCCCTCTAGTTTTTCCATCAAGTAGCTTTGGGAAAGTATTCTTATGTGCATTCCTGTGCTCTCCTCTCTATCTCATCTTTCTCTGCAACCAGGGCTCCCTCCCCTCTGCAGCACCCATGATCCATTTCTCCCCCAAACCACATCTCTGCATGCCCTACCTTCCTGTGGCCTTTCCTCTCTCTCGAGCTGTACAGTTTATCTGTCCACAGGTCTATTTCTTGGGTATTGAGAATATTTGGTAGTTATCTAGCTATGCTGGAGGGACGAGGCAAGCCTAGGGTCCTCCTACTACACTGCCATTCTAGCTCCCACTCTGTATACCACATCTTTATCCATTCATCAGTCAGTGGGTACTGGGCTGTTTCCATAATTTTGCTGTGGGAGATAATGCTGTTATTAACATTAGGGTCCATGTATCCCTTTGAATTAGTATTTTTGTATTCTTTGGGTAAATACCTAGTGGTGCAATTGCTGGATCATAGAATAGTTCTATTTTTAGCTTTTTGAGGAACCTCCATGCTGTTTTCCAAAGGGGCTGCACCAGTTGCATTCCCACCAACAGTGCACGAAAGTTCCCTTTTCTCCACACTTGTTGTTTCTTTCTCACCACCACCTGTTGTTTCTTGTTGAGTTTAGCCATTCTGACAGGTGTGAGGTGATATCTCATTATAGTTTTGATTTGTATTTCCCTGATGACAAATGATGTTGAGCATCTTTTTATGTGTCTGTTGGCCATCTATATGCTTCTTTGGAGAAATGTCTATTCATACCCTCTGCCCATTTTTAAATTGGATTATTGGGTTTCGGGGTGTGGAGTTTTATAAGTATTTTTATATATGTTGGATACTAACCCTTTATCAGATAATCCTACAATTTGTGTGGAACCGCAAAAGACCCTGAATAGCCAAAAGCAACCTTGAAGAAGAAAAGCAAAGCTAGAGGCATTACAATTCTGGACTTCAAGTTACCTTACAAAGCTGTAGCAATCAAAACAATATGCTACTGGCACAAAAAAGACACATAGATTGGTGGAACAGAATAGAAAACTAAGAAATAAACCCACAACTATATGGTCAATTAATCTTTGATAAAGCAGGAAAGAATATCCAGTGGGAAAAAGACAGTCTCTTCAACAAATGGTGTTAGGGAAACTGGACAGCCACATGCAAAAGAAGGAAACTGGACCATTTTCTCACACCCTACACAAAAATAAATTCAAAATGGCTTAAAGACCTAAATGTGAGACTTGAAACCATAAAAATCCTAGAGGAGAGCACAGGCAGTAACCTTTTTGATATCCGTGGTAGCACCTTCTTTCTAGATATGTTTTTGGAGGCAAGAGAAGCAAATGCAAAAATAGACTATTGGGATTTCATCAAAATAAAAAGCTTCTGCACAGCAAAGGAAACTGTCAGCAACACTGAAAGGCAACCTTTGGAATGGGAGAAGATACCTGCTAAAATTCTGTTCTTTAAATGTAACAAATGATAGTAAATGTTTTATTTTATTGAGGGCTATTTTTGTAGGCAAAATATACTTCCTTTGCCAAAGAATAGTGATTTCACTGACTTCATTTTTCTTTTCTTATTCAGGTTATGTATGGAATGTTGGTCTTCACATTAGTACTTCGATCTATTTATATTGTTACATGGTAAGTAATTTGGACCATCAACACCATGATTAGATTACATTCAGGCAATAAATCTATAGGCTAAATTGAAATAAGACATAAAATGCAACACCAGCAGGGATATTAATAGAAAACTATAAACCAACATTTATTGTGGCATAAGGTAAGGAATACTAGTTCTTTACTCAAGTTGTTAACAGGCATTATGTAAAAACAAATGTTCCAAAATTAATTTGAGGAAAGCTGTGTATGATGGCTTCCTTTTGAATATTTATAACGTACCTTAGTATATTGCCTTGAGAAGTCCTACAGTAAAAACAAAAACTGTTTTTGTGCTTCTCAGACTAGTTGACTCAGAACCCTTTTTACAAAACACTATTCAAGGAATGCTGTTAATGTCACAAAGAATCAGTATTCCAGAAAGATGGTTTAGGAAATAGCATAATCTTTATAGAGTTTATGAAGATTAAATAATATTCATGTGAGTACCTCCCATGGGGCATGGCCATACAGCAGCAGGTGCTCAATAAATAATATGATTTATGGGTTTATTCTAGTTTTTTCTTTTTTAATTAAGCTTTTTGTTTTGAGGTAATTGTAGAATTAACATGCATTATAAGAAATAATAGAGACCTCCTATACCCTTTACCAATTTTCTCCAATGATAATGTCTTGCAAAACTGTATAGTACAGTATTACAACCAGGATTTGACATTGACAAAGTCAAGCTACAGAACAGTTCCATCATCACAAGGATCCCTGTGTTGCCCTTGTTTAGTCATACCCACTTCTGTCTCACCCCACCCTCCCATCACTTGTCCTTAACCCCTGGCAACCACTAATCTGTCCTTCATTTCCAGATTTTTTTTTTTAATTTCAAGAATATTACACAAATGGAACCATACAGTATGTGTAACCTTTGGGATCAGTCTTTGGCACTCAGCATAATTCACTGGAGATCCGTATAAGTTGTTGAGTGTATCAGTAGTTCATTCCTGTAGTATTCCACACTATGGATGTACCACGGTTTAACCATTGACCTGTTAAATGACATCTGGATTGTTTCTAGTTTTTGACTATAAGGAATAAAGCTGCTGCAAACATTTGTATATAGGTTTTTATATGAATATAAATTTTCACTTCTCTGGAATAAATGCCCAGAGGGGAATTGCTAGGTTGTGTCATGGTTATATGTTTAGTTTTTCTCAAAATTGTCATACTGTTTTCCAGGGTGGGTCTATCATTTTATATTCCCACCAATAGTGTATGAGTAACCCAGTTTCTCTGCATTCTTGCCAGCATTTCTGTTGTCACTTTTTAATTTTAGCTATTCTTATAGGTAATCTCTCATTGTAGTTTAAATTCCCATTTTCTAATATCTACAGATGAGCATATTTTCATGTGTTTATTTGCCATCTGTATATCCTCTTTGTTGAAATGTTTGTTTGTCTTTGCCCATTTTTTGTTGGTCTTCTCTTTTTTTTTCAGTTGAGTTTTAAGAGTTCTTTATATATTTTAGATAGTAATCCTTTATCAAATACTTAGTTCACAAATATTTTCTCCCTATTTCCTTGTCTTTCCATACTCTTTATAGAGTCTTTCACAGAGCAAAAAAAGTTTTTAATTTTGATAAAGTCCAATTTATCAATTTTTATTTTATGGATCGTACTTTTGATGTCAAATATAGGAACTCATTCCCTAACCCTAGACTTATTCTGGTTTTTTTCCTAAAATTTTTGTATAGTTTTATATTTTACATTTGAGTTCATAATTTATTTTTAGTTAATTTTTATGTAAGATATGAGGCTTAGGCTGAGGTCCATTTTTTTACCTATGGATGTCTAACTGCCCCCAGGAACACTGATTGAAAAGGCTATCTGAAATTTCTCCACTGAACTGCTTTTACTCTTTTCTCAAAGATGATTTGTATGTATTTGTATGGATCTATTTCTGTGTTTTTATTCTGTTACATTGATCTGTGTGTCTTACTTCCACCAGTGCGACACTCTTGATTAGTGTAACTATAAAACAACTCTTCCAGTCATGTAGACTGATTCCTCTCACTGCTTTTTAAAATTGTTTTAGCTGTTCAGGTTCCTTTGTCTTTCCATATAAACTTTACCATAATATTGTCTATATTTAAAATTTTGTTGGGATTTTGATAGGAATTGCGTTAAACCTGCACATCAATTTACAAAGAATTCACATCTTTTAATTATGTTGAATCTTCCAATCTATAAACATAGCACGCCTCTCCATTTATTTGGATCGTCTTTGATTTTTTTTTT